AATTATTAATGTTCTCAAAGAGTTTTCTTTTTTAATGAATCAATTTAATTGTTAACTAGCCGTTTGATTGTCTGGGAAGTTTACTACTTTTGCTGAGCTCTTAAAGAGTCCAACATTTTGGCAGCTGTTTCTTGGCTGATGCATACTAGTTGGTATCACTTGATTCTATATGCTGACCCTCGCATCCTTAGTTCTTTTGTTCACATCATATCAATAAGCACACGTTAATGTTCTATTGTTGTGTACATACTAAGTGGGAAGTAGTTTATTTCTTCTTTAAACCATTTTTATTTGAATTCTGAGAAGACACTGTCTTCCATCCTCTCCACATACCCCCTCATCTTGAAGTGTGCAGGTGCCTGCATGACATGTGCACTTCATGCCCCAGTGACTTTTCCAGAGTCCTTTTGTTCTGCTTATATGTACGCACCCAAACCCAAAGTCATGTCTGCAGAGGAACAGAGACACCACAAGAATCACTGGGATTCCATAACTGAGTGTTCATCCTTTCAATCCATCACCCAGAAACCATCACCCAGAAACCTGCTCTCGTTTTATACTAGTCAAGTCACAACTTGTCCATCTTTTCTCTTTCCTCAATCCAATTTCAAAGAAGTATCTCTTCTTAAATACAGTTTCCCTGCTGCTTAACCAGTGTTTTCTGTTTATTTTTACTAAAAGATGTGGTGCTTCTTTACAATACAATGGTTTTGGTGGTCTCCGAAAGATAGGAAATACAACTTTTTCCCTGTGCTGAAAAAAACTCACAAGGAACATATATTCTAAAAAACATTTAAGTGGAACCAGTATTTATCCCTAGTGCATGAATGGACTTTGGGAACCCATTCTCTATGGAGGGATATTCTCTTAGCCTAGATACACAGGGGAGCACCTAGGTGGTGACCCAAATAATTTGTCAGACTTTGATGATCCCTAACGGGAGGCCTCACCCTTCCTGGGGAGTAGATGAGGGGTGTGGGATGAGGAGTTGGTGGGGGGCATGGAAGGACTAGGGAGAGGGAACTGGGATTGGTATGTAAAATAAGATTATTTAAAACAAAATCTGCCTAAAAAGAGAAGGAAGTGTACAGGAGATAAGTAAACACACCTCAAAACTCACCCTGGCTCAGAGTGGGAAAGAGGAAGAAGAGTTAGAGACTGAGAGTTGAGGTTGGAGAGAAAAGGAGAAGTAGGAAACCTAGAGGAAAGACATTTTCCCTAGTACCTAATTGATCCCATTGAGGAGGGTTGGTAATATGGACAATGCCACATCTGCTATGACTTGTGTTATGCTATTCGTGTTTTCATTTGTTTTCTTCTTCTGTATTTCCCTCTCCTTTTACTTTGTTTAGAAAAAAACACGGGAAGACTTGTATCTGGTCATCATAGTTGTTGCAGTCATCTTAAGTTGTTATGTCTTGCCTGCATTTTCCTTTCCTAAAAATACTGTGTATTTTCACTCATTCATTTTCCTTCCCTGAGTTTTCATTAGAGCAGGCAGGATAACTCTTATGCTTGGTAAACTGAAAAGTTACTTCTGTTTCTTCTCAGGGGAAATTCCTCAAGTTCAGAGAACTAAAATGGTATGGTCAGGGCTATGCAGTTAATAAATGAATTAACCAGAACCGATTCAGTATCAATAGTAAATTTGATTTTTTTAAGTAAGTTACAGGAGGTAACATGAGATAACATTTGTGACATGTTTCTACAGGAAGCTTTTAGAAAGGGTCTTTGAAACATTCATATTGATTTGTTTTGTAAATTTCTAAGGAAGGGGTGCCTCCATTTCCTACTTTACTATCAACTTGTAATATGAAAACTGTGCCCTAATGTCATATTAACTCTCCAAGAGAATGAAAACCTTACAAGGCAGATTATAATTTTAAAAGTGATGATTCAGATCACCTATTCACCCAGAACATGCGATGGTGTTCACTTCCTGTTTCATAAATACCATTTATTGCCCACTTTTTGCTTGCTGTTGCATTTATCTAAATAATTTTCTTCTCATAAAGAAATTTTCTTGCTTGATAGTATATCTCCAAGAACATAATCATGATATATTAAAAAATCATATAAATTGTAATCATCATCTCAACTATTCTAGAATAAATAAGGAGACTTTCCCTTTTTAAAAACTTGTTAGGATTTATTTGTCTTGGGAAAAGTTAATCATTTGAAAATTGTGTATTTAAATCTAGTGTGCTGGCAATATTTGATGTTGATACAATATAAGCTTTGCCTGGGGAAAGTTCTTTGTTTAGATTATGCTGAACTCATGATTTTAAAACACAGGTGAGGATGGATATAAGATTTGTAAATTAGAAGTTTTTGCCTATTTGCTAAGTGCATGAATGTATACACTGGGAAATAAAGTCCTTTGATTATGAGATTTGCATATGTATTTCTTCTTTAAAATACTAATTTGTTTATATGTCATTTGCATTTGTATTTTGTTTGCATGTATGTTTGTGTATAGTGCACATGTATGATGCCTGCAGAGGCCAAAAGAGAGCTTTGGATTCATTGAAACTGGAGTTACTGATGATTGTGAGCTTCCAAGTGGGTGCTGGGAATTGAAACAGGATCCACTTGAAGAGCAACCAGTGCTCTGGACCACTGAGCCATCTCTGCAGCACCTCTAAACATGAATTTCTTAAAATGTCAAATTACTGTTGAAAGTGGTATAAAAAATATAGCCATTCTTTTTGTACCAATGCTGATAGAAATATAAGGTTAGGTTCTGAAATTTTTTTGTGCTGGGGTTAGGCAAATGGCTACTATAAGAAGAACTTATCACATGTGTATGAGAAACTGAGTTAGAAGCCCCAGAATCCATGTAAAGCCAGGCACATGTAATTCTCCCATGTGCATATACATGCACACAGACATGTCATACAGAAACATATATGCTATACACATCACGTAAAAATACACAAGTAAAAATTTTACGTTCGTGCTGTTTGTACATATTTTTACTATGTTTAATTCACTTTCTGTTTTATGGCCATCCTCTTTCTACTTTAGTAAGAAGATTTCCTCTAGATTAAGTAGGCTTTAATGTTCATGGAGCATATTTTAGTCCATTTCAGGAATTTCCCCTCTTGTGTACTAACATGTGTTTTAACCTTGGTTAATAATCTTTGGCTATTTTTCACTGTATCCAGCATTACTACACTGTCTTTATATTACCAGTGACTTTATTGAAATAGCCCATTGGATGAAACACATGACTTTGGGAGGATGTTCAGAGACTTCCCTAACTACCAAATCATTCTTTTTTTTTGTTTTTAATTCTTTTTTATTAGTTCAAATTAGGAACAAGCTTGTTTCACATGTCAAATCATTCTGGGCTGGGCCTAGGCGCTTCCCCATGTGTCCAGGGCCAGAGTGTATCCCTACACGTGGGGTGGGTTCTCAAAGGCCCTTCTTGCACCAGGGAAAAGTACTAATCCACTACTAGGGGCCCCCTGGAGTACAGCGGCCTCCTCATTGACATCCATGTTCAGGGGTCTGGATCAATCCTGTGAATACCAAGAAATGGGGAGCCATTATAGGTCCGAGGAGAGATCTGACACTAGGGAGATTTCCAGAGACCTACAAGGATGACACGAACTGACAATCTAGGCAGTGGTGGAGAGGAAAGCCTAAACGCCCTTCCCCTAAAATGCGATTGATAACTACTTTTTATGCCACCCTAGAGCCCTCACCCAGTGGCTGATGGAAGCAGAGGCAGACATCCACAGATATACACTGAACTGAACTCTGGAACTTAGTTGAAGAGAGGGAGGAATGAAGATTGAAGGGGTCGGTATCAGGCTGGTGAAACCCACAGAAACAGCTGCCTGAACAAGGGGGAACACATCAACCCCAGATGCTGTCTGGGAGGCCAGTACCAAATCATTCTTAACCAATTAATTTGTACACTGTTTCTTATGGTCCAGATCTGGTGTCTTGCTCAACTGTAATTTTAGAATTCTCTTTACAATGTGACCAAGTAAGATAACTAATAAGATTGAGATCTAATTCCTACATTGTATGTCTGGAAAGATATTCTAGTGTTTGGCAGAATTATTGGCAGATCTTACAATCTCCAAGGAGTCATGCTTTAGATGAGAAATAATATTCAATTAGGCAGTACTGAATGGCATATTCTTTTAAATCTTTCCTAAAAATTATTTCTTGAGATTGTAATATAATTAAATCATCCCCTCCTCCTTTTCCTCCATCAAACACTGCATTATACCCCTCTCTGCTCTCTTTCAAATTCATGGCTTCCTTTTTTCATTAATTATCATTACATACATCTTTATATGCATGACTATAACCTGCTCAGTCTGTATAGTTTATTATATGTGTTTTATTTTAATTGCTTTTGAACACTGGAGACATTTAAAGGTATTAGAATTGTGTTACTGTAGTGGGTTTTCCACAGACAAATACATAATTTAATGACAAGCTTAGCATTTCCCTCAGATGTTTAAACATAAGAAGCCTTTGACTTTTTCTCTTTGTATTTGTTAATTTTTCACTTTTCAGATTATATTTTATTTGTTCTGTGACTGTTTTTGGAAATACCCATTCTCATTCCCATCTTCATGAATATATCCATATTTCATTGCAAGTATTTAATGAAATCAGTATGATGTGGGCCACACCAATTTTAAGCCATCTCCAATAATGAGACTTTATTAGAAATATTACTAGTTTTCAGCTGGCTATAAACCACCAAAGCTGCATCACAGTGCTATGGCCAATTTGACCTCATGCTGAAATATTAATATGTTTTGGTTTTTCAGTGGATTTTACTGATATTCTGGTGAGGCTTTCTTTTTTTAAACACAGCCAAGTCTTGTTTCTGAAAATTTGAATTTAGGGCAAACAATACTACTTTTATGTTGGTTCCTATCTCTAAAATTGTCTGCTTCTACAAATTAAAGGAGGTGAAAACAATGTTATGTTCATACTAAAGGGTAACTTTCTTTTTCTGTATTGATAAGGTCTTTCTAGATATGACATTTGGTTCAGGAGGACACACGAAAGCCATTCTTCAGAAAGAACCAGATATTACTATCTATGCCTTAGACCGAGACCCAACAGCTTATGCAATAGCTGAGAAGCTTTCAGAAGTGTATCCGTAAGTAATTTTCTATTTAATTTTGATGCTGAGTTTTACCAAGTTTGGGTTATCTTCTTGGAATTTGTTTCGCCTTGAATGTTGTATTTTTTTTTCCTTACTGGCTATTTCACTTTTCACACCCATCCCTGCGAGAGAAAGAATTAATGTAAGTAACGTTTACAATGCCACAGAAAGTAATGATATCAATGCACCTATAGTTTCCAAATCTGTAGAAATAAAATTAAAAAATGACTCTTGTATACAAGATTGAATATATATTGAAAATTTCCACAAACAGTATTTTGACAACATATTGTCAGGAAATCAATCACTCTTGTTAGGTGTATTTAGTGATGTCTTCCTCTAGTATGTACTGCTTACCAGGCAGAGGCACATTGATCTCAGTCTTGAGACTCGGAGCATAAGCCCTGTCTGGGCAAGATATCAAGACATCTTCTCAAAATATTTCACAATGGAATACAATACAAAAATTCAGTAGTTACTTTCTATAAAGTTAGCTGAATAAAGAATATGAGATTCACAGAGTCTCTATATCTCACAATAACGCAGCTGCTTTCTCTGAATTTCCTGAGATTCACATACAAACAGTGATTTGTCCTTTTGCTGGAACTAAGTGTGCTCTCACTCTGCCACTTTTAAAATAAGTAAGTAGAATCCCAGATATAGTTCAGTAGGAAAGTGTGCATGCCTCCAAGCCTGACTACCTGAGTTTAGTCCATGAATCTCACATGGTGGAAAGGTAGAGCCAACTTCTACAAGTTGTCCAGTGATCTCTGCTCTCCCCATGCAAGCCATAGAATGCACACTCACATGTGGGTACACACACCATGTTAAATATTGTTTTAATGAACACTCATTGAAGAACATTGTGAGTCACATAGTAAAACCTATGTCACATGGTATTTATAGTACTTTAGTCTAGAAGAGAAAATGTCATGGAACTTAGCTATTTCCAGGTTTAAGGACTATTTTCAGGAGTGGAGATTTTTATTCTCTCACACTCAGCACCTGGAATCAGGAAAACAGATGGGATTTGAGAGGAATTTGACTTTATATGAACTCATTATTACTTACCACTATCTAACAATGAAACAACACAGTATGGCCATGGGAAGGTTTATCCAGAATCTAAGAATAGAAACATTCTGCATTCATGTGGGGTGTATTTCCCACTATTTCAGCTGATTTTGCAGATCTAACAAGCAAGATTCATGCTCGCAATGAAATTCTCAGTAATGTCAATTTCTCTGAAATTCCATTACTTTCAGAAAGACTTGATCTAATTTTCTCTTTTCTTCTAGAAATAATAAGAAAATGTGGTTTAACAAAATGGGGTTATTTTTTTTTATTTCTAAGACTTTCTCCTACCCAAAGTGTAACATAGATGTGTTTATTTTAAGTAGAATTTATTTTTACCAAGTGTAATATTTTTTCACTCTGTAGATGTGGAAGCTACTAATGTTGGGCATATAAAAGTTTAAAAGAAATAATAATCATCTAGCTGTTTTATTAAAAATATTCCACTTAAATAAATTAATATAAGAGAAATAATTTTTATTTACTTTTATTTGTTTTTTCTTTTGTGCATGTGTGTGCTGCACCACACATGTAGAGGTCAGAGGACAACTTGTGGGAGTTAGTTTTCTCTTTCTACAATGTGAGTCCATAGTCTCAAACTCACGTACTATGGTTTGATGGCACTGAGCCATCTTGCTGGCCCCAGGAAGCAATCTAAATATAAAACATGTCTTAGCAATGATCAAATGCAATTATTTTCTGTTTAGACAAGTATTACTTAAAGCAATATACATGAATTTTACTTTTATATTTATAATTTAAAAAGGCCTGACAAAAGTAAGAAACTTAAAAAATATTCATTCATTCTTTTTGTTATAGTTATTTAACTGATAGTTAAAATCCCAAAATATAAGCCAAATATGGCTCAGCGGTCAGATGCATGTGCTGGTCTTTCTAAGGGTCTGTTTTCACTTCCCAGAACCCATGCAGGTCAGCTCATAACCACCTGTAACACAAGCTCCTGAGGATCCAACGTCTTTTGTATTCTACTGACAGCTGTACTCGAACATGTACCTTATTCTCACCCCTACATACATTCACATACATACATATGCACATAGTTAGAAATAAAAAAACAAACAGCTGGAACAGTCCTATGCTGGTTTCCTAGAAATCAGTCTGAGGTACATGATCTCCCCCTTCTTCAGGTCAGCTGTTTCTGTGGATTTCTCCAGTCTATTCTTGACCACTTTGCTCATTACTCCTCCCTCTCTGCAACTGGATTCCAGAGTTCAGCTCAGTGTTTAGCTGTTTATGTCTGCTTCTGCTTCCATCAGCTACTGGATGAAGGCTCGAGGGTGTCAGTTTTGAAGTCTGGTTAATCTATGGGGCCTCTGGTAGTGGATCAGTATTTATTCCTAGTACACGAATGGACTTTGGGAGCCCAGTCCACATAGAGGGATGCTCTCTCAGCCTAGACACATGGGGGAGGGTCTAGGCCCTATTCCAAATGATATGGCAGACTTTAAAGATCCCTCATGGAAGACCTCACCCTCCCTGGGGAGCAGAAAGTCCATGGGATAAGGGATTGGTGGGGGGCAGGGGAGGAGAGAAGGGAGAGGGAACTGGGATTGACATGTAAAGCAAGGTTGTTTCTAATTTTAATAAAATAATTACTTAAAAAAGCCCAACAGCTGATATGATAAAATAGCTAGCTGTAATTTAAAAATCCGTGTAAATTTAAATACCTCATATAGGAAGTGATATAAAAACTCCATTCACAACAGGCACTAAAAGTAAATAAATTAATTAATAACAAGTTTTTCTTTCTGATAAAGTATAACCTTTTTTTTTTTTTTTTTTTTTTTTTTTTTTTTTTTTTTTTTTGGTTTTTTTGAGACAGGGTTTCTCTGTGGCTTTGGAGGCTGTCCTGGAACTAGCTCTTGTAGACCAGGCTGGTCTCGAACTCACAGAGATCCGCCTGCCTCTGCCTCCTGAGTGCTGGGATTAAAGGCGTGCGCCACCACCGCCCGGCTGATAAAGTATAACTTTATTAAATGCAGTACAAGATTTGAACAAAAGGAAACATTTGTTTGGGGGTGGAAGAAATTACTTTTTTTGAAAACCTCTTTTTTTTTTTCCTACTGGAAAAAAAATTATCAATGTAATCCACCTCCAGAAAGCATCTTAATTTTATCTTAACTGATATTTTGTTTTTTTTTTATTTGAGTGATGTGATGTTTCATTTATAGTGGATAGAAAGGACATCTTTTTGAATAAAAACCAGAGGAAGCTTGTATTGCCAGATGTCATATGATGCTGTAAAAAGATTGTAATGAATCAGTACGGTATCATCTTGAGAATAGACCCAGTTAGTTGCAAAGAGATTCCAGTAAATAAAACCATTTAAAGAAAGACAAAATATTTATACTTATTTATAAAGTTATCACTTATTATTATTAATAAGTAGGACTGATAATGCCATTCAGCTTTACATAAAAAAATGAAACTTCATTTTTATATTACATAAAAAGAGGAAGATATGTGAGAAAAATGGTAAGAAAGTTCCTAAAAGAAAACTGACGCAAAACATAGGCTTGAGGAATTTGCCTAATCAAAGTCACAGACCTATAACTCATAATTTAGAAATCATATTCTATAAAATGAAAATCCTGCTTATTAAATGATATACTAATTTTAAACAGTAAATTTAAGAACAAAATATGATCAATATAAAAGGATTAATGCATTAATACAGAATGAGTTTTTAAAGATTGATAAGAAGACCACAAATCCAATTGTCAAAGTGGACATTAAAGTTCTCGTTAGATTTCATCACTGAAGACTTTGAAAAGATGTTTCAAGTTAGTAGTGGTAATGAAGCTAATGCAGTTGTAATGATACACTATAGAGGGTGGAATTATAATGAAACATTATGGAGTATAATTTAGCTAGTGAAGATATAGGGAACATACACAATCATTTTTTTGTTTTGTTTTGTTTTGTTTTTTATATATTTGAATTACAAACAAAATTGAATTACACGACGATCCCAGTTCCCTTCTCCCTCCCTTCCTCCTCTAACACCCCCCAACTAAAATCTACCTATCATATATCCTTTCTTCTAATCTACACCTGACTCAGAATTTCTGCTTCCTTATGACCTCTGCATCCTTCCTTTTCTTCCCTTCTCATTTTAAAAGATATTTATAATATCCTTATAAATGTACGCTTTTTTATAATGCAGGTTGTCTAAATAAAAGAGGCAGCACCTAACAAGACACCTCCTTAGGCTTAAACATTGTATACATTGTCTGCATAGATACTTATTGAGGACTTGAAGGCAGGAGTCTTTGAGAAGGGAACAACAGTTAAAAGAATCTATACTTTATGACCATATCTTTGCATATTCATGTAAATCATAATATATAGTATATATTAAACGTATATGCACACACATATATACACCTTATTGTATCTATATGTATAAAATGTTCACAATAAAAAATTTGAATGGAAGTCATTTTGGGGAATACTGGATGTTTAATGTAATATTATCTTCTTGAAACAAGGAACCAATATTTGTGTTAGAGAACACAATGTAATAGTAAGAACATGTTTTGAGAAAATAGATAATTATTTTTCTTCATGTATTTATGTTGCTGTCATTTTAAAACACTTTACACTTCTGAAAATTTTCCTATTATTTACCCTGTCAAAACAAAGTTAGAAACCAGCATTTTCTCTGAAAACTGAACAATTCTGGCAAATGCTGACTTCTCTGTTAACCAATTTTAGCTCTTTCAGAAAAGATGACATGTTAGATTACCTGCTGTTTGAAGAGTGGACCTTTCCCCACTGCCTCTGAAGACTATGCTGAGGAAACACATTTAAATTGGAGCAGCAGGGCACTAAGTTTAGTCTTAGCTTACTGGAAGCTGGATGTTGAAGGCAATTTAAACACATGTAGGATTCTTTCT